AGGTTACTAATCCGTACACAATTCAAACGATTGTCTCCCCAATATGACAAATAATAATATTAAAATAACTATGGCACTCAAGTGTCACGTTAATAGTGGTGAAAATTGAACCAACATCTGAGAATAAGCACCGGATTTCCTAAAGTCTTGATTAGCTCAACTCATTTTGTTACTATTCAAAGTAGTGCAAAGTAAACTAATTCTTTCGACTCGTCGTCTCCTTTTATCACAGCGTTTGAATGCGAGCCAGTGCTGTTTGAAATACTGTATGACGGAGACGCGCCCATGAGTGAATCATGGAACTTTCTTTCTCTTGAAGATTATCGTACCGTGATTTGTTTGGCATACAATCTGAATTCGGACGTGTATGCAATATATACATATTGAATAATAACATAAGACGCAAGTGCTACCTTTCATTATCGATTACCACAATAACCTATTCTGATTATATGCTGGTTTGTGGATGCTGACTATCTGTGTTGTCCTTTTTGTCTCGAACACCGCAGTTTCCCTCTTACGCCATGCCTTTTCAAGGCACTGATCCTTGTCTTCCACTCGCGTCCACACTCACTTCAACACTCACCGGGTTTCGGCCTTCCGAACAACAACAACAACTCGATGCGTCAGTGCCCTCGGCGAGTTTGAACACCAATGCCGGTTTGCCACAACTCTGGGCATCTTCGAACAACCCCGTATGCACATTCTCACCTATTCCAATCTGTCCCACTTCGCTTTCCCACTCAACCACATTCCCTATCAATGTCAATGCCGGTTCCGCATCTCTCACTCCAGTTGTTCCTGCTGTCACCACCTCGACCACCATCACCAATGCCATCAATTCATCTCAGGCCTCGTCCACCTCGACTGGGTTGCCACAACCCCCGGCACTGCAACCGTGCCCTGCCCTGACCAAACGATTCCAGCGTCTCTGCCCCCTTCCAGCCAGTCGTTCACCCGTTTCCTCCGTGTCCGCTTCTGTTACCCTATCTCCGACAAAACGTGCACCCGGATTAACTATGCGTGCCCCGGCTCTGTCTGCCACCTATGGGAATGAGAAGCGTACCGGATCCACTTCGGTGAGCGAAGTGAGCCACCATTTTTGACTAGGTGTATCTGAGTTATATTCATCCAAATACTGTTTATACTCATCGAACTAGATTGGGCAAGAGGATTACAAACGTGATTTGAAGGATCTACATTGCAACTGGTTCGACCAGAATAATTTGTTCTCTCCCGGAGTCAATAACATTTAGCAGGGAATTGGTTTCCATTTATACACCGAACAGAAAACTAGCCATATCTGATGTGTCTTTCCCCCTTATCTGGTATGTCTAAAATGTTGGAACGAATTGATTTCTTTTCACATATATAAATTTATTTCTCCGAAATATTTCATTTGTAACCCAATAGCTTATTCTCAACGGTCAACTT